TTTTCTATATTTCCTGTGTCATTATATATATATATATATATATATATATATATATATATATATATAGTTTATTCAAATTTAGGTAATCCGTATGGGTAGACCTGAGGAGGATGATATCCAGAGAGCTCAATGTAAGATTCAGAGCATATATGTTTGAATAAAAGACAGACTACGTTAAGATTCCATGTAATAAGCTATTTCACCATAACCCCTTTAACAGGGTTCTGGATCATCAGACTTTACTTCCAAAAGCTGAAATGAAGAATGAAAAGAAAATTCACAGGTTTTTTACGGACCTCATCAAATATACGCAAAGTTAACGAAGTGAGGAAGTGAGGTGGGAGAGAGGATGTGAGTGTGTCATATGTATCATTTTAGTTTTCTATTTTAACCCCAGTGTTTCGGCTGGATGTTGCTCTAATCTAACGCGTCTCGTCTCTAGATAAAGGTGGTTAAGGGGTGGGCGATAAAGGCTACAGTGAGGAAGACGTGTTATAACAGCCCCAATAAATTATCCGACAGGTTTCATTAATGCAATTAATTTTTATTAATTAATATTTTAAAAGTACTGTAGAAAATTCACTCCAAAAAACCTGTGAATTTTTCTTTTCATTCTTCATTTCAGCTTTTGGAAGTAAAAGTCTGATGATCCAGAACCCTGTTAAAGGGGTTATGGTGAAATAGCTTATTACATGGAATCTTAACGTAGTCTGTCTTTTATTCAAACAAATATATATATATATATATATATATATATATATATATATATATATATATATATATATATACTGTCTCATCTGTAGTGGGAAGGGAGTTAAATCAACTTAAGTTAGCACATTTATGAGTGGTTATTTCCCTTAGTCATTTTAATAATCCGTATAAATATGATCTATAATTTAACCAAAATTAGTTCCCAAGCAAAATGAACTGTTTAATTAAGGTAGCAATTATGAAATGTGTATGTATGTTCTAAGCCTGGGGTAGACAAACTTTTCAGTGAAAGGGCCACATTCAAAAATTCACAATTTTATTGGGCCATATAGTATATTAACTCAAAATAATTAATATTTAATATAAACAAAAAAAGGCTTTTAAAGAAAAAATGCAATTAATTTTTATTAATTAATATTTTAAAGTACTGTAGAAAATTCACTCGAAACACATTTATTTGAAAGACAAAGTAACTCAGTTTGAAGTTGTTATATCTCGTGCAAGATATAATAAACAAAGTAACCCGAGTGTTGGTTTTCAATAATAGGTTTATAATCGGATGTAGGTGTGTCAAGTACAGAGACAGAGTCGGGAGTATGCTAACCTCAATAGGTGTTAACAAACGAAGACTTGACGACTGTCCGCTGTGGTCATACTTAATCGGCAACCAGCCCGTCCATTATCGTGAATGGGGAAGTTGGGTTATATCATCACAACAGAAGTACTTTAAAGAAAAAATATTAATAAGTATTTTTAAGTTGAAGATTTACATGAAACACATTTGAAAGTCAAAATAACCTTGTTTTAAGAAAAAATTATTTTTATTAATTAATATTATAAAGTAGAAAACATATTTATTTGAAAAACAAATTAACTCTGCGTAAAGAAATAAAAAACAATTCTTACTTATATTTTAAAGTAGAAACTTTAAATAAAAGATATAAAGTAACTAAATTTAAAGAAAAAAATTAATTTAGATTTTAAGTAGAAACTTCACATGAAACAGATTGTTTGAAAACAAAATAATTCAGTTTAAAGAAAAAAAATTTATTGATATTTTGAAGTAGCAACTTCACATGAAACAGATTTATTCGAAAAACAAAGTAACTCAACTACAGAAGGATCTCAATGACTCAATGAGAATAATGTATCTGAATGCAGTCATTTAGCAGTTTGTTAAAATTAGGCATCAAATTGCTTGTAACAATTATTTGGCATTGCTTGGTAACTTTCTCTTTAAAAATTTACTAACATTTAGCGGGCCACATGAATTCTTTTCGTGGGCTGCATGTGGCCACGGGCCATAGTTTTCCCACACCTGTTCTAAGCTAACAGTTTCTTTTCTCACACTTTCCACATTATTTTTTTTTTAAGCATTTCACCCCAAGCAAGGTGGGAAGCCACTAGCATGCAAGGGTGTACAGAGAGTTGGAGCAAGAGCAAATAGGAGTGATAGAGGAAAGGATGAAGAAAAGGATAGGGGATAGATCAAGGCATCTGGAAATGTCGATTGACATTACATTTGAATAGTTGGAGATTTTAGCTATCAGGGAAACAGGAAAAGGAGAGGGAGTTCCACAGGCGAGAGGTGCGAGACATGAAGCTATTGGAGTAGAAGAGACAGCTACATTTAACAGTTTCGACAGTGAAAGAACGAGAGCGAGATGCCAGCCTAGTAGAACGCTTAAATTCATGAAGTCTGGGAACCAGCGAAAGCAGCTCATCGAAGCAGTTACCATGAAAGTATTTGTAAAAAAGACAGAGGGAGGTGATGGCATGTCTGCAAGAGAGCGACTGCAGACGAGATGCCAGATCAGGGTCAATTACATTGCATATCCATCTCTGGAACTCTTTTATTTTCTGGTCAAGTTTGATTTTTAAAACTTTAAATGTAATGTCAATTGTTATTTTCTGTCTTGTTAATTCGTGTTCTTTTATTGTTCTTGCTCCCTAATAATGATTTTCTTTTTCTTATATTCTTTCACACTCAGTAATCACCCACTGCATCTTAGTGGCTTTACTGCCTTAATTGAGGTGAAATGATGAAAAATAATATATATCCTGGGTATGTGGCCAAGTGCTTAGAACGTTCGCATTCTGACCACGAGACCCAGGTTCGAATCTCACCATGGTTGATTTGTCAGGAAAGAGACTTCCTGATATTATTGGTCTGGAGGGGGTGATCCCAGCATGTGGCACCTTTGGAAAGTGCCTGAAAACCATACCACAGGTTGACCCAAGCCTTGTGAATGAAATTGGGTTGACAGAACCCTTGGATGCCATCAATAACTGTGCTAGCACAAAGTCACAAGTCATCATAGCCAAGGACTTGAATGTGCTGGCCTTGTTCAAATTGTTTATCACACTAGATAACACTCTTTTCCAGAAATTATAACTAAGGTCTGCTCAGCATAGTTGCAGTATAAACCACAGGTGGGCTCTGTGGGTGTTGAATAAACACAAATGCACCTGAGCAAGTGTCTGCAATAGGGATTGGCTAGCCGCTCTAGTACACAGGTTTTTGAATACAAGTGGTCAGCTATACATATATATATCCAAGCATTGTTAATACAGTTCAACTGTAAATTTTGTTTATGATCTTTTGGAAACTATTGTCTTCATCTTTGTTGTTGTTATCACTATAACATGTGGTAACAACAAAGATGAGGATAATAGTCCACATGTAAATAGTGTAAATAATAATTCCTCATTCCAGAAATTTAGATAAATTGTGTTTTGGAGAATTTTGTGATTTTCTAAACTTCTAGACACAATTAAACAAATTAATAGAACGCTAATTAGTTTTTATCACCACTCTCATCACTCAGAATCTCGTTTGTTGTGTATTAATCAAGAAGTAAGATAAAAACTGAAGTTCTGGAAGGGACAAAATCCTCTTTTCTTTTTAATCATTTCATCCCGAGCAAGGCAATATTGCCATTAAGATGCAAGGGGTTACTTGGAGTGAAAGAAAATGAAAAGACTTTAGAAGAAAGAACTGGAAATCCAATCCTAAACAGGAACAAGGGATAAACCTCTACTCCTGTTCAAAAGACTGTGAAGGAGTATGAACCTGGCGATAGGTGAAACTATCTACCCACATTACTCCAGTATAAAGATTTATATAATAATAACAAAATGGAAGTATGGAAGAAAAAATGGAAGAAAAAAAGGAAAGGAAGAAATAGCAGAAGAAAGTAAAGGAAGAAAAACAAGAAAAGAAAAAGCAGGAGAAGAAGTAAAAGAAGTAACATAAGAAAAAGAAAAGGTAAAAAGCAGAAAAAAGAAAAGGAAGAAGCAAAAGAAAAGGAAAAATCAAAGAAAAAGAAAAAAGTAAAGGAAGAAACAGAAGAAAGAAAAAGAAGAAACAGGAAAAAAAGAAAAGGGAAAAGCAAAAGAATAAAAAAAGGAAGAAACAGAAGAAAAAAGGGAGAAAGCTAAAGAAACAGAAAAGGACAAAAGCAGGAGAAAAAGAAGCAAAAGAAAATAAAATGAAGAAGGTAAAGAAAAGGAAGAAAAACAAAAAAAAAGGAAGTAACAGAAGAAAAAGAAATTAAAAAAAATAGAAGAAAAGGAAAAGAAGAAGCAAAAGATAAAGGAAAGGAAGAAGCAGAAGAAGAAGAAAAAAAGGAAGAGAAGAAAAAGAAAAGGAAGAAGCAGAAGAATAAGAAGCAAAATAAAATGAAGAAAAAGAAATGGAAGTAGTAGAAAGAAAGAAAAAGAAAAAAAGCAAAAGACAAAAGGAAGTAACAGAAGAAAAAGAAATGAAAACAGTATAAGAAAAAAAAGGAAACAGCAGAAGGAAGAAAACAAAAAAGCAGAAGAAAAAGAAAAGGTAGTAACAGAAGAAAAAGACAAAATGCAGAAGAAAAAGAAAAGGAAGAAAAAGCAAAAGAAAAGAGCAGAAAATAAAGGAAAGGAAAGAGATATTAGAAGTCACGACTGAGTTTCATAATGAAATCTTGTGACAGTCATACCCAACAACCACTGACAGCTATTATAAAGTGGAGTGTAAAGATCTATATATACATGTATGTATAGATTTATGTATAGATGCATAGATAGGTGTATGTAGAGATAGATACATAGATAACAAACAAGACAAAATTTATAAATTTCACATGTTTTGCTTTTATTTTAGCTTAATCAGAAAGTTCTGGAAATGCACTATGGAAGAGAATTTTTCATTGATTCAAATTCTGTGCTGCACAAAACAAAAATTTATGAAGTTAAAATAAAAGTGAAACATGATAAATTCATGGATGTCTTCTTGTTTGTTCCTTATTTAATCATGGGATGGATGGATAGATAGATAGATAGATAGATAGATAGATAGATAGATAGATAGATAGATAGATAGATAGATAGATAGTGAGAGAGAGGGGGAAATTAAGATAGATATGAACGGTCAGACAGATAGATAGATAGATAGATAGATAGATAGATAGATAGATAGATAGATAGATAGAAAAAGACTGCTGGAAACAGGCTCTCTACCTTCCCAACCATCACTGTGTGACTTCTAGCTCTTCCCCAATCTGAAAACCACACTAAAAGGGATTTGGGTCACAAGAAGGTATCCAGTATCCATCCTCTCCAACTAAGGCTTGACCATGATGTTCAACAACTCCACACAGCCATCCAAATTGAACCTGAGACCCTGTTCAAAGATGTGAGGTGGCATTACATCACCTTCAGTGAAGACACACCCAAAAATTATCACAGTTTTGGGAAACTTGGTCTTCATGACATAAGGAACGTCATATGGATTGTAGGCAAGCCATCTGTTGTTCTGGATGTTGTGCAACTGGTCATGACAAAAATTCTTTTCATCACAGATGAACCAGATTGTCCTTGGTTCAACAGGATGTTCCATCTTGTTCAGGAATTTCTTTGCCTTTGTCAGACGGTTTTCTCAAGCTGGTTTTGAAAGAAGTTGACCATTATACCATTTGTATGACTGGTAGTGGAGGTCCTCATTCAAGGTCAGGTTCATAATGGAAATTGCAACACCCATTTCTCGCACCAAAGCCCATATTCTGTTGCCTGCATCTTCCATCATTTTATCCTTAATTTGACATTAAAATTTGAATGAAAAGTCTCTTAAATTTTTAATGCTAAATTTGTTTCATTTTATATATGAGACTTTTATTTATGAGACAGGGATTTTGTCTACTTTTGGGATAAGAGGCTGGGATTTTGTTCAGTCACCCTTCAGGCCAATAGCTCAATGTCACATTGTCTCAATTTTTCCCTGAAAATCAAAAGCCATCTTTTCACCAGGTGGGAAGGTTTGCTTGTAATAATAAATGGCACAACATGTGGAGTCTGTATCAGCCAAATTTTATTGTCTCTACAAAGGAAATATTGCTGATAGAAAGGGCACAGAGAGTGTGAGAATTTTAGGATATCTGCTCACTACCAAGACAAAACCTGACTGAAGAATCTTGAAAAGAACACCTTTTTTTTTCCAGGAAATCTTGTTCTTTGCTGATCAATCAATTCATGAATCAATAAAAAAAATGACACTACATGCTTCTTTCCCATTTTTGTGGGATTTGTGATTATCAATTGATCCTATCAAATATATATTTCAGAAATACAATATATATCCAACAAGCTGTGTAGCTATTTATTTGTTAGACATTTTTTTTAAATTTAACTTGCCATTATTCTACATCACAATGTTGCATTATTCTCAATATCCTTCTGTGAAAACACATCTCTGTTGCTTTAAGTCGCCTCTTCATCTTTGAAAAAATTGGCCAACATTCATTGGCTTATAAGAGAATTGATATTTATTAGGTTGGTGCAAAAATAATGACGTAATAATGTCGTTTTTTGATGTATTTTTAACGTCAAAAACAACATTATTACGTCATTATTTTTGCACCAACCTAATACATAACAGTTCAACACTTTTTCTTTGTTTCTCATAAATTTTTCCTGTATTTTATTACTTTGTTTAGCTTTTAGAAGACATCTTTCCCTATTCCAATCCACATTCAGATTTTTGTGTCACATTTTTCATTATCTGTTATAATATTTCCCAGATACTTAAATTTCTGCAATTGCTTGATTTTGATATCTCCAATTTCTTGTTGGACAAAATTACCTCTAACGCAATCAGTTCTATGTTCAATTTGTTTTCTCTTTGGCTTTAACATCACTGAAATCTTGAAAAGCAGACGGTAATATGGAGGATTATGTCTGCCTCATGTTCATATTACTGTTTCTGTTGCTAAAATATTCCCAGAAATAAATGCATATCTTCTTTCAATTTCTAATTCAAGGGTAATAACTCTGTCATAACAAAGTAAATAGTTACCTTCCTTGAGTTATTCATTTATTACTCATTCCTTGCTGTACGTAACAACAGCTTTTTACGGTTAACACGTTGAATCACCGAAGTTAAGCAACGTCGAGCCTTCTCAGAATTTAAATGGGTTACTTCTTAGAAATATCATTTGCAATAAGCCTAGTTGAGGTTTGGAACAAGAAAGTGTTGGGTTTGTTAGGTACTGTTACGATATTTTTTTATCACTTCACTCCAAGCAAAGCAATGCTACTAAGACGTTTCTAAGCGTTACTGAGTATGAGAGAATACGAGAAAAAAAGCTCTATTACGGAGAAAGGACAATAAAAGAACAAGAATTAAGAAGACAGATGATACTGAAATAATTGACATTGAGCTTCAAAATTTTAAATACAAAGACTAAAGTTGATTGGTATATACGATATAAACTCCTACGGCAAATATGTGAAGCACAAACAAGTAAAAGACGCCTACAAATAAATCTTCAGTTGATACGAAAAACATTTTTTTACAATTCTGTGCAAACATGGCTACAAATTAAATAAGTGGTTTCTAGAACCTCATTGGATATGACAAGTCACGTGATGTGCTCACTACTACATCTGAGCGGTTGAATTTCAAATGACCTGGAAATAGGTTACTGAGTACATTTCTATGCAAAATTCAGATAGCAATTCTGAGCCGGCCCATAGCAATAAAAACAGTTTGTCAGGAACAGTCAGCGACCAGATCTGCAATGATACAGTCAGTGAAGGACAGTCAGTGGAAGACAGCCAGCAGACCAGACCAGGCCTTGTTCAACAACATAGACACATGTACCATGACAATGCGTATGTCAGCAATAATTTTTCTACATAGAACACCATAACAAAAGTCTTTTCTCCTCTCTCTTTGTTCACTGGGTTTTGGAAATTACTGCTATATAGTCAGTCAGTAGTTACACACATTTCATTAGCGTGTGCTTCATACACACGCACATGTTGGCGTACAATACCACTTGATTTCCTCACTTGTAACAAAAACACTTTGAAACTTTGCAGACTCATTTGTGACAAATCATTTACAAAAATTGAACTGCTGGTCTCTTAATAGTCACAATAAAGAATATTGATTTTTAATATGTAAATACATGTATCTGGCTGCATAAATGTTACTGTCATATTTAGCTTGGTCTTCTTCATTTTCTGTGAAGATCATTTCTTTGCATTGTATAAAAAAATTGTGTTGTATTTGTGAACATAACACTCCTAAAATCCAGATAGATGTCAGTGATAAATTGGAAATGCCAAAATCAAGCCTGTACAAAAGCAGGAACAGAAATGTAGGAAGTGTTATGACATACAATGGGAAATATAACACAAAAATCCAAAGGCATATTGGAATAGTTAAAGGTGCCTTCCAGAAATTAAAAAAAGTATAAAGAAACAGGAAAATTGTGGTGAGCCCAAATGTAAAAAATAAAATATGAAAATATAAAAAAAAATTAAAATAAGTCTCTCTCTCTCTCTCTCTCTCTCTCTCTCTCTCTCTCTCTCTCTGATATAAAAGAAAAGACAACAACTGCTGCAAAATGGAATTTGCTGGTCCAGGGTCTAGTTATTGTGACTTAAAATCTCACAGAATAAGAGAGGCTCCAGGTATAACTTCCGTTATTAAAAAAAAAATAAAGGAAGGAACACCAGAAAATAAATGGAAGAATTTTGGCCAATCAAAAGAACAAAAAGACTTGATGTTAGATGAAACCAATTTTCATGACAAGTATTCTGGAGCCTTTCAAATTTGTGTATAAAGAGACAGATGACAGCCAACAAAAATGAAACAGCCAGAGAAACGTGCCCAAGTGCAGGACATAAAGAAACTAAGTGGTCATCTACTTAAGACATTTTTACACCCTACATGAGGGCTAAGAAACACTGCATTTGGTGTTCGCAACATGTTTCCAAAGTAACCACATTCCCAACTACTGCCAATGTCTGATTCATAAACTAACACCTACCGAACCAAACAAACTTTTAACAACCTGAATTACAAAGGACTTACTTCAGCCGAAGTCAGACAAATAAACATATATTATTTCTTTACACCTTTGATTCTGTTTTTTTATTTAGAAGTTTCTGAGAAATATTGCTGAGAACCTCTGGCACTTACCCACAAAATTTTACTAGAAACAAAGAGAAGAGTACTGAACTGCTATGTAATATCTATCCACCAATATGGCAGTGAATGCTGAAATTCACAGAGGAAGCAACAGAAATGTGGTTCTACCTGGGAATACTGCAGACAAAGCATGAAAGCAATGATGAAGTTTTAAGGAAAATAGGATCTAAAAGTACATGTGTATTTAGAATCAGAAAATGGCATTTGAAAATTCTGATATACATAATGAGGGCTTGGAGAGTTTGACACTCACAGGACATATTGAGGGTGAGAAGGCAGAGAGAATCATCAAGTCACCTGCCTAATGAGCTTGTGTAAATAGATGGAAGGACATGAATTTGCAGGGATAATAAAGGGATATACATTGCTTAGAGCTACAAAGCACAGGAAGTAGTGGAGAGCCACGATCGTCTACATCCTGGAGGATAACAGATGGAGCAAAAGGTTGCTTGACTGGTGTCCAATAAATGGCAAATGCTGTCAGAAAAGACCCGAGAGAAGATAGATTAAATAAATGGGTTTGTGAGTAAGACATGTCAGAGAATAGAACAATTGTCGTCATTGAAGTAATTGGGAAAGGGCTTTTTTCCAATAATGAAGGTGCATTAGAATAGTGAAAGATGCTTTCCAAAAGCTAAGCAAAATATTAAAAAACAAAAAAATTTCATTAGAAACAAAGAAAAGACTACTAAACTGTTTTAGCGATTTTCCAAGTGTAGCTTAGATGTGGCACTGTTGTAATTGTTCTAGTGAGACAAATTTGCTAACCATTACACTGCCTCGGGGTGCCCCTAAACTGTTATATAATATTAGTCCACCTATATGACAGTGAATGCTGGACAATCTCTCCTCACAGATGAAGAAGAGATATCAGGCAACAGAAGGATGCTTAATATACAATGGAGTGAATTGTGAGTACTGATGAAGTTTTAGTGAAAATGGAAACAAGACAGATATTTATACTTAACATCAGAAAGAGATAGTTGAAATTTCTAGGGGAACTTA